AAAAAATACATTTACAACAAGACAATTCTCTAAAGTTATATTCACATATAAGTGTACACACTGAATATTCGATTCATTCCCTTATACCTACTCTGTGTGCGTGCCAATCTCATGGAGACTGACACAACACGGGAATGCCGTTTTATTATTTTCAAACTGTAGTTCGTGAATTTGAAATGATTTTCTTCTCATTAAATTTAATTAGAAATGTAATTCAAGTGAACATTAGCTGAAGGGAATGAATGACACGAACAACTTTCGCAGTACACACATTCTCAATAAAAGCTGTCATAATGTCACTCACCTCTTCTTTCTCCTTGATAAGTTTAGTGAGCGTTTTGATGGGTACGTATTTCGTGCCAATCGTGCGCAGTATTCGTTTTGGCAGTGGTAAACGATGATAATGTCGCAATTTGAACGGATTCAAATGAGTAGGGAAGAAGGTACGATGTATATTCTGCGCTGGTATTGAGTGCTGGATTAGTGAACCACTTGAGATGTTGCTCACACTTCTGAAACACAACGCCATCGATGTTACCAAACAGCCCGATCGTATCAAACCATATCAGTTTAAGGAGTAATCGATTGGTTTGTGAACTTGAAAATATGATGATAGCATATCGCCTTTCAACTAACCTTCCGGTATTTTTTGGCAAATAGTATTCATCGTTACTCAAATTGAACGGATCCTTATCGGTCAATTGCGCCATTGAGCTTTCCATCTGCTCGTCCTCTTCTTGCTTCTGACGTTGCTGCACTTGACCCAATATCATTTTCGACTTCTTTGTGAACTGATGCTCCTCAATATTATATTAAATTATACGATAAATATAATCTTATCGTTATTCGACAAATAACAGAAACGATAACGATAATGATAAAAACAATGCGAAATGAAACGAAAACGTTCTCACTTTTCGATCGAATGGCTTCGGTGCAGGTGTGCCGTCAGCATCTAGCGGTTTCTCTTCTGGTGCCTTGTCTTCGGGCATGCCGAAGATCTTCGGATCGTCATGATAGTCCAACGTTAGAATGTGCGGCTCTGAAATCAGAATTTTCTAACTGTTCGCCGCTCACTTCTCAATCAAAGTCAGCATCGAATTTGTTTCATTCCGCTCGCTAACACTTAATCACAATCGCAATCACATTAACAAGACGTGATTTTGGACATCACCACGGAGAATAGTGGCGACACCTGCAATTAATCAACATCATCCATACCTGGAATATGTGTCATGTTCTCCGAATCCCAAATAATATCGTCCTCCCATCTGGTATTGATTAGATCATAATTGTCCATTGGGAATATCGAATGCGCCATAGTTGGCTCCTTCGGAAAATCTGCATCACAAAATTTTTAGCGAAAAAAATTTCACTGCCAAATACTTTCGTAAGTTTCATTCAATCATTTAGTACAAACTTCTTTGAACAAAAATTTCAGTCATTCATTTTTTTCACGAAAAGAGAAATGGAATGAAACTGTTTCTTCAAAAAAAAAAAACAGACTAAAACTACCTAAGTCAGCCATCGCTCGAGTGGGTACAACTGTGCCTGGCTTAGCAAACATTTGCTCGAATGCGTTACTCTTTACTGAAAATTGAACTAGCAAAAAGTTGAACAAAAAAATGGATCCAAATCTCCGATGAAACGTTCAAATAAATATTCATTTGTTGTGAGCAAAGTATACACTGATGACAGCGCCAAAATGCAAACGTCAAATGCGTTTTTCCTCAACGACCGCGCTCATGAATTGAATTCAGTGAAAACACTGCTCTATCGCACTACGCACATAAAACATTCTGCTTAATGAACTTAATTATTCTGCGAATAAAATTACTGAAATCGCAGAAAATACACGACTTACATGCAGCCAAGAATGATTCATAGTTTCGTGTTTGCTGTGTTGGCACCCATCCGTACTCCGGTAATTTACCACTTGCTAATCGTTTCAGCACCTGAAAACTACATCCGTTCCTATCCTCTCATATTTATATCCTTTTTCTTGATGATATTTTTGAGATGTCCCAATTCTCACTTGCTCGTAAATATTTTAAGAATTCCTTCGAGGTGCCTTTAAAGAGATGATTTTCATGAGAAATTCAACGTTAAGGTCAACATTTCGCACCAACAGCTAGTGAGATACAATGCATATGAGATATTCTGAATGAAAGAATATCTGCATCATTCTGAATGATGTTTTTGCAACAACATTCATTCTGATCTCTGAGAAAAAGTGGTATCAAACCCATAGCGTAATATTATCATGCAATAGATGACAAATCAAAATCCATAAATATTTCAAGAAGATGACAACTCAAAAAGAGACAATTCAATAAAGCAAAAACAAACCTGTGAACGAACTTGTTCACCATCAATTATTATATCATCCTCCCAACGCAGTAAATTCACCGGTAGAAATGTCTCCGGGGGAAACGGATCCGCTGCGGCCAGTCCTTTCTCTTTCTCATCGTCTGTTTTCTCCTCCTTTATAGCACTCTTCGAATGCGCCTTCGTCTTAAAAAACCGTCATCAGTTTAAATTTTAAAACGATGATAAGAATCAAACAACACAGAAAATAGTAAGAATAAATACAAAAAATATCGCCTCATCTTATGCGTTGATCTTAACAAAGAACAAACATAAAATATTACTGCAAAAAACTGATGATTCGGAAATCCAATGAACATTGTTGCAGCATCACTTTGCAATAAATTTACACAATTGATCTGATCAGAACAATCAGACCAAATTCTAACAACAATGCAATTCCAATATATCACCTTTTACAATATCATTCATAAAGATATTCAAAGATAAGAGAAACTAACTTCACGCTTAACTTTAAAACCGTAATCGAAATGCGTCGGATTCGCTGGAAGATTCATTCGATCATACCATATTCGTGCAGGACCGTACCTTCAATATCACTCTCTGATATTAACACTCAATCGTTCCTCCGCTTTCCAATTCAGTCAAACATCATATACAAGCAAATGCTAGTCATTAGAGTAAAAAATCATCAGAAGAATCCATTTAAGGTCTTTAACCCTTATGAAGGGATGGATGCATCACAAATTCCTCTCGAATGTTCAACGCTAAATGGATCAAGCGAACCAACAAAACGCAAGCAAACCTCCACGGGGGAACGTCCTCATCATCCGCATCCCCACCGCTCTCTTTGCCGATCGCTTTTGTATTCGACGGTTGCATCAGCAACACCTCATCGCTCACCTGGCATTCATCTGCTGACGGCATCGGACCGAACGTCAACTCGATACCTTTCGATTCTTCTCGTTTGCCGTCTTCTTTTGAAGTGCTCCCCTAAACACAACTTTCACTTGATCACTTCGCATCAAGATGCTCGGTAATGAGCACTTAATCATATTTTAATAACAACTGCTAACAATAATCAGCACCCGAAATTGCTCACCACACCCTTCCAATCCACAATGCCACTAAGCGGGAAACTATTTTCGAACGAAACATTTTTAAAAAGAATGTAATTCAAACGAGATGCTTAAAAATAAATCTTAACCCGACACATGTCCCGTTCATTGCTACTGCTTAGTAATGAATTTTCAAATCTGTAGCGGAACTAAAATTTAAAAAAAACCTTTTCTGCAGTTTCATCTGTTTCTGCGTTTCCTTTGTTGCTATTCGTCTCGTTCGATGCAACCGCTGAAGTCTGAAAGTGAAAATATCACTGACTTTATCAAACTGATATCGTTCACTCCCTTTCCTAACCACTCAGCACTTCCTTGAGAATCGACGAATCGACGAGGTATAATCAGAAAGATTCTTCAGCGAAACAACTCACCCCACCACGAAAATTCTTTAACGGCCACCAAATTTTTGTTTTCGATGTCGACTTAATGTTTGAACCAAAAATGCGTGAAAAACGCAAAATACCATCTGAAGAATAGTCCGGAAAGAACTGCCTGAAATGAGAAAACATTCAAAGCAATCGTATTGCTTAAAAAGTTATCGCCCCCTCAAAACAATGCGCAAATATCTGAATGATATAAAAAGCGCATTGCAACTTTACTCACTAAACTGAAAAAATTATTCCAACTGACAATCAATAAAGCACCGGCCGGTATTTAGCTGTTCAGAAATTTGAAACGTATTCAGATATAACACAAAAAAAGAGGGATGAATAATGAACAGTGATGATAATGACAATAGTAACAGCAATATTAATCTCAATAATAATCACACCTTGGATCAATTT